CTCACGTGCTCGTATAGGGCAAAAAAAAAAAAAACGCATCTCCACGTGGTGAATGATGTTGTTGGGGGCGAAGCTCTGGTGGTGGTTGTCTGCGTAGACCATAGAGATCGTACATACTAACTCTAGAGGAAAAGGTCCGCCCTTTTCCCATGCATTCTGGCTGCCGCAAGCGGCGGAGCATGCAGGCAGACCCTCGGGGTCCCACACATTGTTACCAACTGCCTTCGATTTCGCGAATATAATTATATCATCAGAGCAGTGTCATGAACTTCAACAATCCACGAACTTACCGGTGGAAAGATATTCGCGTTCCTTTCGAAGCTTTCTTTTTGCATAGCGCGGAGATGTACGGCCTCGCATCAACGCTAAACTAAACCAGATAACCGTCCTCCCAGGCGGGGCGCGAGTGGGCGCGCTTCAGGAATACGAAACCAAGCAAACACAAGATTTCCGAGATTTCGACAGAAGGAAAGTTAATGCAGCGTAATGAGTATAATGCTTTTTATAAGCGTTAGAATAGCTCAGAATTTAGTTTACAAGGTTAAATTATCACTGTTTATATTGCTGAGAGTTTTCAGTCTTCGCGATTACCACTGCGACTGCCGTCCTTTAGCTGGCAACATTGGTTTCTTTCTCTCATGTTCTGTCGCTCTCTTTCGCGGTCTTTCACTCGGGACCCAGGATGTAGGCCCTTGATGTAGGCGCGCGGGATTTGCCACTCCTCCTCACCCACCTTTACCCCACCTGGCGTAGACAATGAGCCGCAGCATGCCGAGCCTTTCGTTCGTTTTCATCCATGTCAGAAAGAGAATGCGTGGTATCGAACGTGGTTATATACGCCTTTGAGCATTTGATCGCAGCGTGACATGGATGAAAACGAACGAAAGGCTGGGCATGCTGCGGCTCAGCGTCTACGCAGACAAGCACCACCAGATCTTCGCCTCAATCAACATCATTTACCACGTGGAGATGCGGTTGTTTTTTGTCCTTATTATTAGTACAAGAGTCACAAAAATGCGCAGAAGCTGGAGCAATCGCGAGACGCTAGCCTGTCGCACGCTTCGCAGTGCCCGTTTTCTACAGCGGGCGTGTAGCCTCTGTGCGCACGCCACGTAGGGGAAACGATCGGTGCGGCTCCGATGACAGGCGTTTGGGTAACACGATATAGGGCTCTAACACGATATTGAGGACAGGGCGCCGTACAACGGGGGCACCTTCGCGCGGCAATAGGGCCTCGTGGTGGGCCGCACACCGCACACCGTGAAGAGAATAAAAAGAAAAAGAAAAGAAAAGAAAGACTTTCGTTTGCTTGAGACTTTTTATGCTCCCTTTTCATCACATTTTTGTCTTAGACTCACTGTAGCCGCTTCGCACTAGACTGCCAGCAGGCCTGGGTGGAATCGTGCCTTTATTGTCCGAGTGGCTTGTTTGCAGACGCTATCGTTCTTGCTACCAGCAATTCGTGTCGCAGTGGGTTGATGCATGTATACACTGTCAGCAGTGCCAGAATTGAATTCCAGGCACGGGATGGAGGGAATCCCAGGCTGTGGTTTTCATTTCAACTGAACTCCTGAAAGTCAGCCCTTGCGAACCAATGCCACATTGGGTAATTTGGTGCTGAGGACGTCCTCCATATCTGGCGCACATTTGATATCTGATGTAGCCGGCCCTCGAAGGTTGTAAACAGTTGCATCATGGTGCTTGACGAGGCCTCCAATCCCATCGCAGGCGTTCTTACCTCCCAGTAGCGGAAACTTGTTACTTGGCCGACAGGTACTCGGTCTTAGCGAGCTCATGAAGTTCGTACCTATTCTTGAAGTAGCTTGCTCCGCCGTCACTGACCTAGATAAAATGTGCGTAGAAAGGAGCAACGTCCTCAGCCACTCGTGAATTTTCCCAAGGCCGTAGCATGTGCGGGAGGAATCGTGGCTGGTATCATCACTGATCGGAGCGCAGCTACAAGCCCTTTTTTTGGTTGTCACTACGCATGACGTCGCTTGTGAATATATTCTCTAATAATATATGGCAACCGAAGAGTTTGTGCCCTCTAATGGTTTCGCCGCCCCTCTTTTTCCACCAATCAACGCACTCCTTCTTGTGACGTGATCCTCTGGGTGACTAATTAATCAAGAACGCGAAGGATGCAGCTAAACTGCCTAAAACGTGGACTGGAAGGAAAATACGACGTTTCGGGGGAACGTCCTTCAAGTGATAGTTACGAAACACGGTGAGGAACAAGGAAAGGGTTGTATACGTCACAAGAAAAGGGGGCTATGCTTCTTACTCACCGATTTTTTGTTTCTTACAAGAAGATGGGCGTCCACCCGAAACTTCGTGTATTCCTTCCCGTCCACGTCCTGTTTATTGTTGCACAATATATCTTTTGTGATTACGTGCCCAAGCTCATTGTTCTCGGCAGCCCCATTCTCTTACACGCTGAGATAAACATCTGCTATCGGAGCCACTTCGGTTGATTCCTTTGCTTGGCGTACACGCCGACTACTGGAAACGTACGTACCCTGCGAAGCGTGCGACAGGCTAGCGTCTCTGGATTGCTCCGGGTCATGCTGATTTTTTTTTTTTTTTAAATCTTGTACAAAGAAAACATGACTTGCTCAAAATTATCACTTAGAAACTATCGCCCACCCGAGCGCTGTCCATCTGACCAACCCGGAGCACTTTTACGGGCTGTAAAAATTATGAACTTGTCAACTACGGGTATGTATAATACACGCAAACAATGCAATGATATTTTTGCTCATCATGTTCATAGATATCATTGGCGTTAATTTGGAAGAGTTAAAAATATCTAAGATAGCAATTTTTTTTTTAAATTGATTTGCAAAAGTATGCATATTTAGTAAAATGCCTCCATTTAAGCGTTTCTCGTAAACTTTTCTTGCTAATCAGGACAACAATATTTATAGTCAGATAGAGGACAACACGCTAGCGAAGTTTGAAAATCCGGGCTTGAATAAATGCGGAGAAAAAAAAAGTTAAAACTTAGGCAGTATGGCTCAATGTGCTGTCGTCTGTGCGATTTTCTATTTCAAAATAACGACGTCAATACGTCGTGATAAATAATTTAGGTCAACCATCCCCATAGGGGCCAGTAGCCACAGCACATTTTGGGGGAGAGCTGCCTGAAATGCCAATTTTGCGAAATCCACAAACAACGCTTCAGATTGAGCAGGTGTTTCTGACTTTTTTTCTTGAAGGCAAGTTTGCTTTTTCCTAAAACAAAGACCGGTTCCGTTTTTCGGGGCATTGAGGCAGCAAGATGCATTTTTCTGGTCAAAATTAAAAACTGTCACCGGACACGGTCGGCCGTTCTTATCTGAAGACGGAGTTGTCTTAGAGAAAACTGCCGCGGCATAACATAACACAACTGCGTGTATATTTGACAAACAAATATCAGTAAGCTAGGTGGCTTCTGTACGTTTTATTTATGTAGAATACGCATGCACCATCACATTTTATTGCGTTCTTTTAGTGGGTAGAGGAAAATCGGACCCTTCACGTAACATATTTTAGTAGCTTTACTTTTTCGAGTACAAAAGAGGGATCTTAGTAGTCGAGGAGAAGTAATCAAACTTAGGAACGACTATAGAGACACGACAAGAAATGTAGAAACGAAAACTGGTGGTCAGTCAAGTGCAAAACAAGCACCCAGGAGACTTTATTCACATTGCGCGGTCGCATTTTAATATTGCAAGTATGAAATTGATCTAAATTTGGAAAATAGACGCAAGTGGAAAACGTTCGCGATTGAAAGAACGCATGTTCTTCCTATCCTCACTCAGAATACTGTAGCGGGACTTCGTCCTTCCTCCAAAACACCAACACAGTGAAGACGATAACGAGTTGATGTTTGAAAGGCCTGTGCATAGAATGATAACATCATGTCCCTTGATTGCAGATTAGCGCAGTCTTCAGGCACGAAACCGCCCAGGTTGAAGCACTGGAGGCGGTCACAAACTGGAGTCGATAATACTGTTTGCCGAGCCGACCAAGTCTTGCGCTAGAATGTATAAATAGCAGATTGGTTAAAAGCAGAGTCAATAATTATGTTCAATGCAGGACACCAAGTAACAGTTGCGAGCTTTCATGAAAATTTCAAACTAGCTAATGATAGCGACGTACTTCGTCCCTCGAACACATCCGAATCTGGAAGCAATCTGTTTACAATAGATGTTATACGTTTATTCAGTGTGTGGTTCGCACCAACCTGAAGTACACAAAGTGACTCTCAGTTGATCGTGGCAATCGCACGATTTTGATAAAGTGAAAATGTACATCACTTGCGACAGAAATCATAACTGAATGGAGACGTCATAAAAAAAGTTCTTACCTCTTGATTTTGCTTCTCTTCGGGAAGGCTAGCCGACTGACATATCGCGACTGAAAAGTCTAGGCCTTCTCAACCAATAACGACCAAAACAAAGCGGTCGTGCGCGAACAGCCGTCACCGCCGGACGGACAACATATCGGCGTTCAGAGTTCTGCGAATCCTCCGGAGAAGTCACTCCCCGCGAACATTCACCGACCGCACTCCTCACCCCTCTAGCCCCTCAGGGCGACTGCCGGCCGCGACCCGCCGCCGCCGCCGCCGTGAGCGACTCGGCACGAGCCTCACAAACCCGCCAATCCGCTGCGAGCATCGAATGCGACGTCATCACGTGTCGTTTACGTCACCCTACCGAAGGAGACGTGAACCGCCGTCCGCGAATTTTTCGGGGCACGGAAGCACTGTGAAGGCTGTCACTAGCGGCGTTTTGGTTGCGTTTCGACTACACTGAAGGAAATGCAACTGTAACGAACCAAAATGTGGTTTACGTTCTTTCCCGAGGAGTTTTAAGGGACACGAGCTCTCATTTCGCTGCTAGACCCAGATACGTTACGCACTCATTCGCCTCGGAGGGAGAGCGCCTTTTCACGCCTTCGACGCGCGCGCCATCTGGAATCTTGAAAAGTTCCTATCGGAGATGAAAATCGAGGAGCGCTCCCTCTTAAGGATATTTTGGCTAAACAGAATGTGATCCTAACTGAGCTTGCTGGGATAAAAACTAGTCAACAAACATTTGAGAACAAATTTGCCAAACTGGCCAAAAAGGTTGAACAAATTGAAGTCACAGTCGAAGAAACAAAAGAGCTTAGGAATCAAATGACGAGTATTGAAAAAAATGTTTCGTCCGTACAAACCGAACTTACTGAATGCCAAAGAAAGTTGGTCGACTTAGAAGATCGAAGCCGCCGCAATAATCTTATGGTTTTTGGTGTTTCCGAGGACGCCGGTGAAACGGCAGATATACTTCGATCAAAGGTACTCGACGGTATTTTCGTAGAAAAACTTGGAATTCGTACTAACTCTGTCGAACGCTTGCATCGGGTTGGACGAAAGACAAATAGAAGCCGGCCTATTATTGTTAAGTTCTTCGACTACAATGAAAAGAATAATCTTCTAAAAAAACGCAGACTTCTAAAAGGTACCAAAATAACACTTGAGCACGATTATTCATGGGTGACGCTTCAAAAGCGCAAACTGCTATGGGAAAGTAGCAAACCAAATCGTGATAATGGGGAAACTGCTTTTCTGATACACGACAAGATTAAGATTGGAAACGACATTTTCGAATGGGATGACGCCAAGGGGCAAGTGTGCAAAGAAAAAAATCGGCCAACAAACCGAAGGAATGTGAAATGACGCCAATTATCTCTGAAAATGCATCCTAAGGAATCATTGAAGATCTTGAGTTTTAATGCTCGGAGCATCGTGAACAAAGTGGATGACCTGGAACTTATCTTGTTGACTCATGATCCCCATGTTGTTGTTATCACCGAAACGTGGTTACACAGTGGTATTGGTGACAGCGAAATTCTTCCCCCTTCATACAGGATGATTAGAAAAGATAGAGGATCGAGGGGCGGTGGCGTTGCTGTTATATTTAAAGATTCAATAGAATTGATGCCAATGAATTGTGTTATCAGTGGAGAAGTATTATGGTGTAAGTTAACATTCCACGGAAACGTTTTTGTTGTAGGCGCCGTTTACAGGCCACCAAATGCCCCGCCAAAACTCTTAGAAGATTTACATGATTACATGGCACTGCACTTCACCGATAAAACTAAGGTAATTTTAACAGGAGACTTCAACCTGCCCACTATTGATTGGACGTCCTGTAAAGTAGGTAAAGCAGAAGTCGCATCCTCTGAACGTCTGTTAGATATCTCTCTTTGTTTTAATATGCGACAGTTAGTGAGCGTCCCAACTAGAGTATCCGGCACAGGCCAAGCAACACTAGACCTGCTTTTCGTTAGTAATACAATCGAAGCAGACGAGGTCGGTGTTATTGACGGGGTCTCTGATCATAAAATCCTGGTATTCATTATTCAACTCTCTAAATCGTCGTCCCAAAATTTTTGTCCGGGAAGTGTTGTTCGAGATTTTCAAAACTCCGATGATGTGTCTATTCTCGACTACTTGGAATGGCATTTTGATGATTTTTGTCAACTCTCTGACGTCGGTGAGCTATGGGGGAAATTTAAGAGTATTGTATCTCACTGTATATATCATTTTGTCCCTTCAAGAAACGTCAGAGCAAAGAGGGTCCATCCTTGGATTACGAGGGAAATCCTACAATTAAAACGAAAAATAAAATGCCGAAGGAAAAGCAAAGTTAAAACTTCTGCGGAGATAGCAGAATTAGGGCGAAAGCTAAAGAATCTCGTCACGCAAGCTCGAGAGAGCTACTGTGGTAACGCGCTCTCACGGTTCTTGAAGGAATGCCCACAAAAATTTTGGCGTTTCTTTTCATCACCTAAGGAGGTGACCTCGCAAATCATAGTTAACAGTGAAACTGTTTCTTCTCCTTTTCAAATTGCAGAAGAATTTAACAAGTACTTTCAGTCCGTTTTTACTCTGTCACGTGACCCGTCGGGAGACCCTGCCTATGTTTCTTATCAGTCACAAATGCCGGAGCTCGTTCTGTCGGAAAGCGGTATCTTTAACTTGATTTTGAATATAAACGATAAAAAGGCATCTGGCCCAGATGACATTCCGAATGCTTTTCTAAGACGATACGCAGAGTGGGTGTCTCGGTACTTATTTGTAATTTTTCAAGCTTCACTTCGGCAGAGCAAGCTACCGGCAGATTGGTTATGTGGGAAAATTGTGCCAATTCACAAGTCCGGGAACAAGATGGCAACTGAGAATTATCGTCCTATATCCTTAACATCGACATGTTCAAACTCCTAGAACATATTATATCAAAACATATCAATCACTACCTGGAAGAAAATAACTTACTGTATAAGCACCAGCATGGGTTTAGGCAGGGTCTGTCAACGGTCACGCAGCTACTTGAATGTACGCATGAGTTCGCGTCTGTTATAAATGAGCGTGGTCAAGTTGATGTAATATGTATGGATTTCTCGAAAGCCTTTGACCGTGTTCCTCATGACAAATTGCTCGAAAAGCTACGTAAATTAGGACTGAATCGGAGTTTGCTATCATGGATACGTTCATATTTAAGCAACCGAATGCAGTATGTCTGTTATAATAACGTATGCTCTCCCCCATTAGCAGTCTATTCAGGAGTACCCCAGGGTTCCGTTTTAGGGCCACTCTTATTCTTAGTCTATATCGATGACATAGCTTCGAATCTGCCTTCTTCTGTACATGTTAAGCTTTTTGCGGATGACTGTATGCTATTTTCTAAAATTACTACAGTTCAGGATCAGGAGTTACTAAATGAGTCTTTGGGGGTAATCAGCTCATGGTGTGCTACATGGGGCATGGTTATTAATTTTAATAAGACGGTATTTTGTAGTATTACAAACAAGAAGAAAGTGTTAGATTTCCGCTACACTATAGGGAGCACAGAACTTGCAAAAGTAGATGAATTTAAGTACCTAGGTGTGATTTTTTGTAATACGTTGCGCTGGAATAGTCACGTGGACTATATATGTACAAGGGCATATCAAAAACTAGCGTTCCTTAGAAGGCACCTAAGACATGCAAATAGAGATGTTAGATTAACTGCATATAAATCCTATGTGCGTCCGATATTAGAGTATGCAAGTTGCGTATGGGACCCCTACAGAAGAAAACAGGTCACACAAATAGAAAGAATTGAGAACCTTGCTTTACGGTTTATTTTTTCGGAATATAGGCGTACGTCGTCTGTTACCGCAATGAGAGCTGAGGCGCGGCTGGATCGCCTAGAAAACAGAAGAAAAATTTCTAGATTAAAAGAATTATACATTATAGCAAACGGACTGACAAAAATAGATCCTGAAACATATCTGCTACCTTCGACGTCTCGTTCCCGGAGAACGAGCAACACTAAAGCCATTTCACCGTATCAATACAAGAATGATGTATTCAAATATTCATTCTTTTGCAGAACAATAATTGAGTGGAACGCTTTACCAGAAGAACTTGTCAGTTTCTGCAGCCTTGAGCTATTCGGAGCCAAATTGACCGAATTTTTTAATTAAGTGATGCATGTAAAGAATGCGCAGGCACTTCGAACTGCCTGCGCACGCTTGACCCGCACAGAGTGCATGATCATGTATTTATTATGTGCTTTTGTACTTCCTCTCCTGCGTAGACCGAAAGGTCCGCAGTATTGTAAATAAATAAAATAAAGGCTTCTCAGAAATATAGACGGATATTATTTGCCAAGAATAAACACGCACTACGGCAAAAGAATGATATGTTTTTATATCCCTTATTTATTCAATAAGACACCGGAAGAACTACTTAGTTTAGACTCTTTGAAAGGAGTGAAAAACAAATTTAGAACATGGTGTTTGCAAAATCAGGTGTAAACATTTTTATATGCATTGATGTTCTCTTTTATAAATTACTTCATCTTATTTGTATAGTCTAAATTTGTTGTTTTGAGAGGCAGAATTGTTTTGTTCTAAATGCTTACGGTTAAAAGTTGTCGTTTTATTGTTTGGTTCTGATAAGAAGAGAACGTTCCCGTTTTTTTCCGTGGGCGTGATATTTTTAGGTCGACTATTTGGTTCTTATAATGAAAAACAAAGTGTATTTTTTTCTTGCTTTATTTCATATATATATATATTTCTAAAGTGAGTGAAGTTGTCATTGATGTATTGTTGTTTTGTTTGTTTTGCAACGCAAATGGCAGTGTTGTAGCGATAACTATCCGCGGCTGCCGGGCCACGTCATACAAGCCTCTAAGCTTTGACGGACCTGATTTTCTGTATTGTAAAACGAACAATAAAAATTATTATTATTATTATTATTATTGTTGTTTTCACTCAATCTTTCTTCAAACGGTAATTTGGCGACACTTCTCGGAGAGGGAGTTTATAAGGTCTCGGCCAGTCCATCTCGCGAACTTAGATCTGTTCTGCGTTTTCAATCTCCTCGAGTGAGAACTCACTATGGCGAAAGCATGCGTTCCTTTTATGTGCCAAAGGTTTTTAACGACGTTCCAGCTGCTCTGCTTGCCATTACCTCAAACATAATGCTGAAGACCTCTCTGAGAAACATGTTCTCCGATGTGGCTAGATTGTGACTTTTTCCCATGTCGTTATTTTCCTTTTCTTTTGCCGTATGGTATTGTACGTGTTTTTTCTACTAATCGCTGGACATGCCAAATGACGACTGCATTTATTGCTTGAAGTTTTGTTGTCTTCGACCCGTTGATTGACTGATTTTCTTTCTACTAATAAGTGTTTTTTTTTTACTGAACATATGAAATATTTGAGAAAAACTCATGAATTCAAGAACTTGTCTTCGAATCTACTCATACAGTGTTTTAAAAATACTCATGCATCAGTGTTTTTTTTTTTTTTTTTTTTTTTTACTTTTGGCTTTAATGATTGTAATTGACACAGTGATCAAGACAACGTTTGCTCTAGTTTCATCTTCACTGCTTCAACCAAATCACTGACACAAACATTCCGACTACATCCTGTCAAGTGAATCATCTGTATGTTATTTGCTTTTTTGTCTGCACGTGATGTTATCCCGTGTGAACTTTCTTTTTTGCATTTTCCAGCGAAGGGTCTGGTCCCACAAGTCCCTGATGGCTTTGATCGGACCCGACACTCAACTGGCTATACTTGCGCTACTGAATAAATGTATTATTATTATTATTATTATTATTATTATTATTATTATTATTGCAGTCTGTGTATTTTACACTGAAATTCCTTATCCACGGCCATAATTTGTCAGTTGGATGGTGGCTTTGACGACAGATTTTCATCAACGCAAGCCTCAAAACAGCCGGGCTCAACAGAACATTTGGTCAGCGCTGGAAGAATCCTTCAAGCTTGGCGGCTGCAACGGAGCTCTAGAAGGCCTCTTAGCAACTACCGCTGCTCCAGTACCATGGTGAGCGGCGGCTTTCTTCTGCAGTTGCACGAATCAGCTCGAACTAGCCCTGCGTGTCTGACAGTGTAATCGCTAGAACCCAGTCCTGCCGGCCAGTCGTTCAGTCGTAGCGCAGTTACTCACCATCCTGACCAGCTACCTGCCCCAGTGGCTCGCGTCGATATTTAGAGGAGTGCCTCGACCTCCCGACTACGTTTCACACACTTCACCGAATTCCCTTATGCATATGGATTCCCCTACGGTCCGCATGATCGAGTGCACGGCATGCAGCAAGTCTATAAACGACGATGGCAGGCACATGTCGTGTTCGGATTGCAAGTCCAATTACC